CCCAACCAGTTTAAATTATTTTCATGGTATCTTCCTATTTTAATATTCTATGATTTCATTTATGCTCAATACAACTGGTCACAAATTCTCAATTCTTAGTACCAGAATGAACAGTAGGTTTCATAAACCTCAAAATTATAACAAATTTATTGTTCTCACAATGATAATCAAAGGCTTCCAAGCATTTATAATGACTTGTGTGTGTTACCATGCGGTGTGGTAGGGACAGGTTAGGAATATAACACTTACTTATTTCTCTTTTCTGTTTCTTAATTTAGAGAGCCCAAGTCCATTAGAGTGCCTGGAACCTTGGCAGTCATTCCAAGATAAATGCTTGCTTTTTTCTACCATTCGTAAGCCTTGGAAGAGCAGTCTAGTTGATTGTTCCACAAAACAATCCAGTTTACTTCTTATTCAAGATCAAGAGATATTGGTAAATCTTTAAATAACATACCTTAATAAAACTTAGTGTTTCCTTTAAACCATACCAAAATCTCTGGCTTTCTTCCAAAGACTTTATGTGTTGAAAGTGGGGACTTTGAATTTAAGATGTTCATAATTGTAGAGATTAAACAGAAATATATGCAAATAATTTAATAGAAATTGATGAATAAAACAAAAAATAAAAATACATATAGAAAACTATAACTATGTAATTACAGAGAAGTGACAGTTAACTCTGATGAGAAGTCAGGAAAACTTCAGTGAGGGGTGATGGTTGAACTAGGTTTTAGGGGATGAGTAGAATATAAAAGATGAACAGATGCAACACTCAGCCATTTCTTCTGTCTCATGTATAGAGACAAATACAGATGCAGATAAAAGATGAAGGAATTTCATTTTGGATTGGATTAAATTTTACTTTTCCAGAGAAGAAGTGGAAGTGGATAAATGGTTCTTTTCTAAATCCTGCAACGTGAGTATTAGATGAGCTCATTTTAATATCCCATTCTCCTTGAGTTTACATTTTAAGGTAGTAACATTGTTGTTGAAGATTAAGTTTTGTAGTTTTAATTTGGTTTAAAAATTCTCAAGAGTTTGATATAATCTGGGAAGATGGATGATTTTGAAGTTGGTATAAAAGTTCCGTATAAGAAAAGATGCCAGACAGTTACAAGAATATTTATTTTTATCTGCAGTGAAGTTTTAGGTGACAAGGAAGGGTAATGGCTAGAGGATATTGACACACAGAATCTCTTAGGTAGAAGTAGTGTTTTTCAAACTCTGGGAAAATATATCTTAGTGGATCATGAAATCAATTTAAAAATTGAAAAGATGGTTGTGAAAGAAAAAAATAGTAAATGTAAGAATGTGAAACCAAAATACTTGAGAGTATCTAGCAACTTTAAGACAAATATGGGAGTACATTTTAACCAATAGTGTGAAAGGGGCATTTTTGAGGGGTGGTGGTGCAAATATGGATAAGCCACCAAAAAGCCATTTGCTGTTTTATCTTTGGTGTATCATTATTATTTCTTGTATAATATTGTTGAGATAGCCATGAGTGAAATAAGAGACTTGTTACTTATTCATATTCAAGTTTATCTGATAATTTATTAAGGTTGGAAAAGTACAGGTTCATATTTAAGTTTATCTGATAATTTGTTAAGTACGGAAAAGCTTATCTGATAATTATTAAAAGTTTATATGATAATTTATTGAGTATGAAAAAAGTTTGTCTGATAATTTATTAAGGTTGGAAAAGTACAGGTTCATATTCAAGTTCATCTGGTAATTTATTAAGTATGGAAAAATACTAAACTGTGAAAGAAATCTTGGCTTAATTAGACCCATATTCTGAAATATGTTTTCAGTCTGAGAATTTAAAGTAAAGATTATTTAAAAATAAGTGTTCATGGCTAGAATTAATTTATGAAAATGCAAATATATCCATTTTGTTTCATAACCTCTCTCCTGATTTTCTATATTTTTCTAGATTTTCTGATTTTCTGATTTTCTATATTTTATTCATAAATAAATACAAATGTATTTGATATTAACTTACTTTTATCTTTTCATACACAGTAAGGGTTAAATTTTGTTTATTAAATAGAATATGTGTGTGTTTCTCAATTTGGCCATGATATAAAATGCTTATTTTATTGTGATTCATAGTAAAAATAAATTGGAAAACATAGAAGTATCTGTGAGTAGACATGTGTAAAGTGGATGGAATAAATTCAGTTGAAAATTAAACGTCCCGTTTTATTCTGAGGAAAGAAGTGATGCTTTGAGTAAGACAGTAGTAATCAGATAAAGCTGAAAGGTATGTTATAGTAAAAAGAGCACAAGTTAGAGCCTGCTTTTATTTGAACTCTCTGAGCCTTGTTTTTAGGCAAGGAAAAAAAGTGGGGGAAAGGTAATCATGTGTTTCATAGACTTGTTTTGTGGGTTAAAAGAGATAATATAAGAGAACTAGCTGGATATCTCATAGAGGAAGGTCTGGAAAGCTATTTAGAGCCTTTTGGAAAAGCAATCATTGATTTTATCAGATTGGCATTAAAAAATTCACTTGAAAATTGAAGAAAGAATTAGAAGAGTGGTAGAGATAAAATATAGGGGAGTTTTGCAATAGCCCAATTGAGAAAAATTGATGGTTTGACTAGAATATTGGGCAGTAGGAAGAAATCAGACTAGCAGCTCAACCCAAGGGGCTGCATGAAAATAATGGAATATAGGGAAAAAGAAAGGGTGTGATGGATCAAGCCCTGGCCACTGCCCCCAGTTTGCCTTCCTTTTGAGACAATTAGTTGAGTCTTAAACTCATCCCATTCCTGCATCCCAACTCTAATACTGTGTGCTCATCCATTATTTAAATTCTATCTCCACTTCTCTTCCACTTCTAAATGCCAGGATTCGTGCTACTTTCAAGCAAATGCTTTGAAGCAGACACCTACTGACTTCCGTTTGACATAAGAATAAAAGAATAAGAATAAAAGAAACATCTGACTACATATCCCATGAACTAAGTCTCTTTTTCTCACTGCCTCCAGATTCTGTAGACCCTGTATACCTGGGTCACTACAAAATTTTGAGACAGACTGTGTTATGGTCCATTATTTCATTTCCAGGAAACACAGTAGACAGCATTATTTTTTTTGACCTGTGCAAGCTGCAGTTTGCTAGGTTCATCACTGTTGCTGGGAGAGCTTCATTTTTTTCTTTTCTTTCTTTTTTTTTTAAATTAAATCATAAAGAGGTAAATCATGTATACACTAATGCATTTATGGGGTACAATGTGCTGATTTCATATATGATTTGGAATGCTTACATCGTACTGGTTAATATATCCCTCACCTCATTTACTTAATTATTGTGTTAAGACATTTATAGTCTATACTTAATAGATCCGACATGTACCCTTGCAATATGCACCACAGGTGTGATCCCACCATTCACCCTCCCTCCATCTGACCTCCCCCGTCCTCTCCCATCCCCCCTCTCTCCTTCATCCTGGGCCATAGTTGTGATCTATTTTTCATATGGAAGTGTGAGTGATTGTAAATTGGTTTCATAATAGTACTGAGTACACTGGATACTTTTTCCTCCATTCTTGAGATACTTTACTAAGTAGAACATATTCCAGTTCCATCCTTATAAACATAAAAAAGGTAAAGTATCCATTTTTTAAGGCTGCATAATATTCCATGGTATAAATATGCCACAATTTATTAATCCATTCATGGGTATATGGGCACTTTTTTTTTTTTTTGAGACAGAGTCTCAAGCTGTCACCCTGGGTAGAGTGCCATGATGACATCATAGCTCATAGCAACCTCTAACTCTTGGGCTCAAGTGATCCTCCTGCCTCAGGGTTTTTGGGTTTTTTTTTTTTTGTACTTTTAGTAGAGATGGGGTCTTGCTCTGGCTCAGGCTGGTCTCAACCCGTGAGCTCAAGCAATCCACCCACCCAGCCTCCCAGAGTGCTGGGATTACAGGCATGAGCCACTGCACCTGGCCAAGCTTCATTTATTGTTTCCATCTGTAGGGCTGTTACACTTCATGATTTTTGTGTATGTCATAACTTATGCACTTATCACATGAGCACATACTTTGTTTAAGCATTGTCACACTTTCATATATGTCATCTCAATGCCTTCTCCAAATATTAGATGGTTTTTTCCCATTTGTTTAGGAAAACTGATGCTTGATAACATCAAGAGGGTTTTCACATGATTTGATAGTAGTAGGGTAAAAAGATTAAATTGCCATTTACTAAAGCTTATTGTTAAAAATATCATTATGAATTTTCTTGTTAGGAGGATTCTTTTTAGTGAAAGCAAATTGAAGGTTCTGGAGATTTATCTTAAAAATGCAAACCATTGTACATGTATTTCTGGTTGTGTACTTACTATGCTTAATAATTTAGCCTTCCACTATCTCCTGTAAGACCCAGGAAATAATGGCAAAATAAAGATAAGTATTAAAAAGTCTTAAATACTGACAGGCTTTTCTTTTGCTCCACAGATTAGAAATTAATGGTGATGATAAAGAAAACAGTTGTGTTTACATCACACAAACAAGTGCTTTTTCTGAACACTGTTCTGAGGATTATCAGTGGATCTGCCAAAAAGAAGGAACACCTATTAAAAATAAAGTGCATCCTACTTCTTGACTATGAATTCCATCTCAATTTCTTTACTTTTAACTGTATATATTGATACTTCCTAATGAACATTTAGCGGCACAAAGTGAATAAATGCCAGGAATTCTGTAACTGTTGTAAATCTCACAAAAATTGTGTGAAATCTATTCATTCCATCAATGAGGAAACTGAAATAAATAAAACATGTACAATTTTAAGAGACAGTGTTGTTTTATGGAAGGGAACGCAGACCAAGTACGGGGCATTGGATTCCAGCTCTTGTGTACATATGCGGCCTTCACTGATCCCCTCTATGTCTTGCCATCTGAAGAAAAGTTCTAGTGACTGATATCTAAAATCTTATACCACCACACAACAGAGTTGTGGCAGAACATTTATTCAAGTCCATTCTCTTAACTTTGTGCAGTGGCAGTATTACAGCTAATGAGGTTTATCTGAAATGCAATAATTATTAATTGAAAACTTTTCCCAATACCTCACCATGACAACTTGAATTATAGTTGGTATTGATAATTTTAGACAGACTCTACAGAGACTAAATTTTAAAAATTTAGCAATTTTATTGGCAATTTTAGACAGTCTTTACAGAAACTAAATTTAAAAAAAAAAAAAGAAAAGTCCATTCTCTTAACTCTGACACACGAGCATCATAACAAAATGAGTTTGGTAAGGCACCTCAACTCTTCCTACTATTCCACAGTGCTTCCCATGTGAATTTTCTCATTTCCTCATTTTCAGCCACTTCCACCCTCCTTTATGGCTCATGCACAAGTTGTAAGAAACATGACATTAGATCTTTCCTTATTCTAACAGAAAAAAAGGGATATCTTTTTAACTCTGCAATTGGGGAAACTAAAGTTAAAACAAAGCAGAAGTGTTTATTCAGACAGATTTCTTGACTGTCCATTTTGCTAAAAAACATGTCAAATTTTCCATGGAAATCAAATAAATGAAAATGTTGAATTTACCTTATAAAAAAAACCTATAATAAAATTTTGAAAAAGTAGATGCATACTTACCCTGATGATTCAATGCCAAATGGAATTACATAAATTCGAGTACATACTCTAATGATCAAAAATCAAAGTATAATTCATTTTGTGTCAATAAATTTACCCCATAGACACCCACATGTCTGCAGGCACGCGCGCGCACACACACACACACACACACACACACAAATGATAAGAGTGATGATGCATGTGTTAATTAATTTGATTGTGCTAATCAACACACAATGCATGTGTATATCAAATCATCACATTGCAAGCCTTGGAGATATACGACTTTGTCAATTAAACATTTTTACATTAAAAAGAAAAATGATTTGCCATCTGTTTCTGATGGTACCATCCACTGTATGATTCTGTGAAGCCCATGTCACAGGCTCTCTGACTCCTCACCTTTGTGCACACCAAAGTGGATCTATCCTTTGTTGCCTTGGAAAATCCTAGTAATTATAGAAGGGCTGGCACCAATGTTAATTTCTTTATGAATTTTCCCCAAACCTCTCTGCTCCTCACATTTGTAATCTACTTCCTATCACTTTTCTGAAATGTGATTTAATTCTTTGCTGTATCGTGAGTGTCTAAGTTTGTGAAACTGGCTCCATTCCTCTCATTAGTGGAGTTGGACAAGCACTAAGACAGAATAATAAAAAAGAAAAGAGACTGTCCCTGACTTCATTTTAATGTAGCAAGCTAAGGAATTACTCTTGGCAGAGTAATTTATGGCAGTAAAATCATCTTGAGGCTCCACTAATGAAATCACTTCTGTGCCACCAGCTTGGATTTGAGGTTAATTTATCTCTGCTTTACCTCCCAGTTCCACCCCTTACCCAGAGTTCTTCCATATGCACAGTAAGGGTTCAAATGTAGGTCTAGTAGGAAAACATTTATGGTGGAAATATTAAACATTTCAATATTCTTAATGTATTAGCCTAGGGTTTTTCTAACCAGTCTTTCCAATCTATTTATGTTTTGGTTAGCCACCAATCAATTCTTTTCTTTGTAATTCATGTATAGGTAAACAAGAATAACTTTTGCCTTCCATACCAAGAAGCTTGGTAAAGGGAAAACCCAAAAAGTATAAGTAAAAATAAAATTCTAAAAAATAATTTCAGGTTTTAAATACATACAAAAGCAACTAACTTATGCTGATCTGATAGGATGGACTAATCTATTCTGTAGCAACCTGGAAATTGGGAATGGAGTCAAGATGCAGCTAAAGGAGGTGGGGGGGTCTTCCTGGAGCCAGAACCTGACTTGACTGCCAGGAGTCTAGCAGACAAAGAGAGAAAAGAGCTAAGAAAATAAATTTCTCTCTCTCTCTCTCACACACACACATAGACACACACATAGTGTTCGGACCTGTGAAGTCAACACGGTGCCAGCCCCTTGCTAGGCTAACAGAAGCCCTCTCAAGCCCAGGACTTAGGACTATATTTATTTAGAAAATTTGGGGCATGTTCTTACAAGGCAAAAAGGTAACAGCTTCATGCTTCAATTAAACAGTGAATTCTTTGTTTAGGGAAGAAAGTTGCCAGGCTGAAGGACAGGGGAGTATGAAGCTACAAATCAAAGAATACTTTGTGGGGAGCGGTGCCTATGGCTCAAATGGGTAGGGTGCCGGCCCCATATCCTGGAGTTGGTGGGTTCCAACCCAGTCCCGGCCAGAAAAAAAGAATACTTTGGGGGACAGATGACAAAGGGCAGTTACACCCTTCAGGTCAATGTGCCTGCAGCCGCAGGGTATCTATAAAGGACAACTATTAATTATTTTCTAGTTTCATTTATATTCTTGTCTCTAAGCTACCAATTTCTAACTAGACATTTCCTAGACTACTTTCTTATCTACTCTGCTGAACATTCCAATCCCCTTTGGCCAGAGTAGGCACGCATTGCAACAGGGAAGCTGAAGCTTTGGGCCACAACCCTCTGGAGATAACATGAGGCAATGCCAGGCTACTCTAGCTCTCACCCACATTACTCCCTGGCTGCAATTCAAGTTTACTTGCAATGAACTCTGGTCTACTACCTTATGGACTTATTATTTTTGCTTTTGTTTTTGTTTTTCCTTTGTAGTTGCTTGGTTTCCTTCCAACTAAGCAAAACAGAACAAAAGTAGTTCTGTATCAATCAGAACAAGTTTATCCATTTTGTCCCTTTGCAACACATTATTTCCTTCATAATAAATGAAATTAAATAATTTATCTGTTTATATACTTACTATTTTGTTATTAGTATAATTAGGTCTTCCTTATGGATCTATGAGCTTCAGGAAACCACGGATCATCTTCATATCATTAGCCAATGAATTATTCTGGCACATAACAGATATTCAGCAAATATTTATTATCAGTAAATAAATTACTACATAATCAATTTTGTTTACCTGTTGGGATCAGTTATGTAGTTCTTGGTCAAAGTCTCTAAGGCAGTTAGAATGGGGTGGTGATTGGGTTTATTATGTCAGAGCTTTTCTCATTCACACATGTGACTGTGGATTAAGGCTGTTGCCTGAATCTCAGGTTGGCAAGAGTGGTTTTTCCAGAAAGATTATTTTTCAAATATTAAAGTAGGAACACAAAATGATTGTCAGCTTTTATGAGGTAGCCCACTGATAGAGCTGGAACCCAAGTGTTCAAGGTTTATGAAACCAATTGCACTCTTTATGTCAACATTACAATCAGGGATACCATTGGGAATACTCACTGGGAAATACCCATTGGGAAACTACCATCATAGTGCACTTTGGATTTGTTCTCTGCCCTTCATGGAAAATTTTTAGTGTTCTGGTGCATAGTTAAAAATTTCCAGGCAAAGACATTTCAAGTAAGCATAATTGCTAAAAGTAATTTCACTTCTGACTGAAATTGCTTCTCAGCTAGTTTTGTTCATAAATTCATGGTAAGATATTTTATATATCTGTACTGATTTTCAGGCTCAAAACAGAAAAGGCAATATCTAATTATTGCCACTTTATTTCAATTTGTTGTTTGATGCTAAATAAAGTGAAAAATATAAGATGATTTAAATCGAAAATTATTTTATAGGGCCAGGTAGGGTGGCTCACACACCATAATCCAAGTCATCTAGGAAGGCTGAGACAGGAGGATTGCTCAAGCTCAGGAGTAAGAGACCCTGTCTCTACTAAAAACAAACAAACAAACAAACAAACAACTAGCTAGACTCATGGCAGAAACCTATAGTCCACATGCCTCAGCCTCCCAGAATGTTAGGATTATAGGCATGAACCACTGCACCTTTGAAAATATGTTTATCCTAGGGAATAGACTTTATTTTTGAGAATGAAAAGAAGCTGAAATTACTTTTATAATAAACAATACGTGAAGAAAGATCTGGGTGCTTTGGAAGCCTCCTGGCAATGACAAATCAGAAAATAAGAAAAGATCATGAGGAAGATGAGTGGCCTGTGGCTGGGAAAGATGAAGTTCACAGGATAGTTTATCCAGAATCAGCTCTATTTTCTTTTTTCATCAATGACATTTATTGAGGGGTTCACCTAGACTTTCCTCCTTTACCAAGCAGAACTAAATGGTGAGTAGGTAATCAATCACACTTGAAACAGATCTTCTGAGAGAACAGTGGAATTCAACTGAGAAGTGATGGGAAACACCTAAACCAAAGAAAGAGAGAGAAGTCAGGCAGCCTGCTCTGCCTGGAATTAGCTAGGAGCCTGGAGGAGCATCCCACTATGGGGATAGGGACACAGACCCAGAGCAGTCCGCATTCCCATCACAGACTCCTGTAATCCTATCTAACCACAGGAGAACCCCTCAACCCTCATGAGCTCTGAAACTGACATGGAGAACTTCCTGGAGACCATGTGATGAGATTGCTTCAGAGAGGGACTCACTCTGAGTCCCACATACCCACTGAGTCCTAAGCACCTCAGCACACACCATTTCAAGAGCCTAGACCCCCACCTGCATCTTGCCCTGTAGCTGAATAGCCCCTGCATCTCCACATGCCTGGAGACCCATTGATATTCAGCTGGATGCTGCTGCCAGGTGCCAAAGTGTAAACCATTGACCTGACTCCACTATCCCTAACAGTGGAGCTACTATGTATTTTCATATGCTCCAAGGACAAGCCTTACCTCCTCAGTTGTAGGGCCACAATATAGCTATGCCACCCCAACTTGAGCATTTACACTTGGGTTGAGGATCACTCTACCCCTACCTACCACAGGCAGTATCTGCATGAGCCACCATGGAACTTGAAGACAGGTCTGCCTGGCCAAGCTCTGTACTCCCCACCCCCAGTGCCAAAGTATGCTGTCCACTGATCCAAGGATGAACCATTTCCACCAGTCATCATCGGCATCTCAGCAGTTCTCTTAGGAGCCTGTTATTACCACCAAGCTGTCACCCACCAATACATGCCACATGCCTGGAAATCAGCCCACCCAGCCCATTGTAGCCACTACTACCAGAGCAGAACTCTTGGGAACCTGAGGACTGTCCCACCACTATTTCCATCACCCACGACTTCCCCCTGCCTAGGGATCCAA